TTGGATAAGCGTTTAGTGGAGAAAAAAAAATGTTTTTTGATAAGGTTGTTGAGAAAAAAAAAATTATTTGATAAGGTTTGGAGAAAAAATAGTTTTGATAAGGTTAGTGGAGAAAAAATATAAGATCCCCAAGTCAGTTTTAGGTTGTCGGTTGAAAATCCCCGTGTTCTAATATCCTTTCTTCCTTTGCCGTTGCAGGTCTCTGACGCCCCCGTGTTCAGCTGACTGTGGGTGTTCAGGCAGGTTCTCCCCAATGTGTTCTGAAGATCAAATAACACTCTTCTATTCGCCCTGTTACGCCGGCTGTACCGTGGCCAGCACTGCGAACTCCACTGTAGGTCGAGAGCTCCTGGGTTATCGCCTGTACAGATGGTTGTTATTGTTGAAACTTATTAGTAGTATTTGGGATTAGGTTAGGGATGGGCAATTAAAAAGCAGTTATTGTCATGTATTGACTTTTTGGATCGACTTCAGTGATTTTTTCTCTCTCTCTCTCTCTTCTGATGACTCTCTCTCTCGGTCTCTACTCTGCTTCTGTCGTTCTCGGTCTCCTCTTCTCTCCTCTTTCTCTCTCTCTTCTCTGAGTGCCTCTCTCTCTTCTGCTCATCTCTCTCTCTCTCATCCTCTCGTCTCTTCGTCTCGATAATTCCTATCTGCTCTCTCTCATACTGCATGGTGCTCTCTCTCAACCGTCTCTCTCTCGTCCCCTTTGATTTTTTTATCTCATCCTTCTCTCTTTCTCTTCAGTGACCTCTCACTCTCTCTGATCGATCTCTCTCTCTTCTGCATCCTCTCTTCTCTCATGCCTTACGTACCTCTCTTCTTTCTCTCATTCCTCTTCTGCTCTCTTCTCTAGATCCTCTCTCTCTCTCTGCCTCATCACGATCTCCTCTCTGTTCTCATTCCTTCTCTCTCTCTCTTCGATTCCTCTCTGCTACTCTGGCTCAATTCATCTTCTCTCTCTCTCTTCCTTCTGTCCTCTCGTCTCTCTCTCTCTCTTCTCTATCCTCTCTCTCCTCTTCTCGTACTCTCTCATCCTCTCTTCTTTCGTCTACTTTTCTCATCCATAACTCTCTCTTCTCTCTCAGCGAGAATCCTGACTCGGTCTCTCTCGATCTTCTCGAATTCCGTTCGTTCTCTCTTCGTCTCTCTCTCTCGATCCGGATCTCGTCTCTCTGTTACTGCTCTCATACCTGCTCTCTCTCTTCTGCTCTCTCTCGATCCTCTCTCTCTCTTCCGTCTCTTTGTTCTTTCATGCCTCTCGTCTCTCTCTCCCTCTGAGAGAGATCTCTTGCCTGAGCGCTCTTCTCTCCTCTCTCTCTCTCTTAGCATTGCCTCTTCTCTCTCTCGCTCTCTCTCTCTCTCTCAATTGCCTCTCTCTCTCTCGTGCATCTGACTCTGGCATCCATCCGTATCGCTACGTCTCTACTCTCTGATCTCTCGTCATCCAGTCTCTCTCTCTCTCCTCTGCTTCTCATTGTCCTCTCTCTCTGCTGCTTCGTGGACTCTCTCATGACCTCTGCTCTCATCCTCTCTCTTCATCTCTCTCTCTCTCTCTCTTCTTCGTCTCATCCTCTCTCTCGTTCTCTGCTCCTCGTCTCGTACCTCTCTACTCTTCTCTCTTTCTTCTCCGAATCCTGCGCTCTCTTCTCTCTCTCTCATCATTTCCTCGTCTCTCTCTCTCTGCAGAATCCTCTCTCTTCTTCTCTCTCCTTCTCGTCTGACTCTCTCTCGCTCTCTCTCTCTCTGCTTCGCTGATCTCTCTCTTCTTTCTCTCTCTCTCTCTCTCGTACTTCTCTTCTCTCCTCTCTTCGATCTCGCTGAGACTCGCTGATCTCATAGCGTGAGAGATGCGATACTGGCATTACTCTCACATACGTATCTCAACATACTCTACTCTGTCTCTCCTCTCATCTCGTCTCTCGTCTCTCTCTCTCTGAGTCTCTGATCTCTGACTCATGGCGATACGTGACTCTCTCTAATGCTCGTCTCTCTCTCGTGCTCTCTCCTCTCTCGGTCTCGTCATCTTCTCTGTGCTTCTACTTGTTACCTGCTTTCTTCTCTCTGTTATTGGGGCCTCGTGCCGTGCGTCCTCAGTACTATCCATCCTTCCCTCATCTCCTCCTCCTCCTTCTCCTCTACACTCTCCTCCTCTCACTCATCTCGTTACATATGCCCACCCTCTCCCTCTCCTCCCTCCGTAATCTTCCCTATTTATACTTTATATTATATATTCTAGTCTTTTCTATCTCTGTTATGCGTCAATGTTGCACGGCCAACCAATATAGCCATCTTATAATAACCACCTTCTGAATTTAGATCTTTAGTTGATTAATGCTCTTAATTCATTTTACGTGATAATATACCGTATTCGTTGTCTGTCTGCAGATTAACTATACTACGGTAATTGCACCTAGGTAATTGAGCGCTGCCGCTGCGACACTTCGTCGGCTCTCCTTCTGCACCGCCGAAGCCTTGTCAACAAACTTCAGGCTTGGAGGTGCGTACTCTCTTGCTCCTCTCAGATACTCTTGCTCAAGACCTTTTCCGGCCTATACGGCCTATATGGCATTGGTCATTCACTGTAACCCATCGCTTGCCGAGAAAAGATATTTCGTTTGCAGTCTGCCTATTTTCTAACTAATCTTACGCCCTTTTTGTTTATTGGTCTTGATTTAGTTCTATTGTAAGTTTGAGCGACTGGAGCACACTTCACACCACTCGATAAACCCTCCTACCACCATCGTCATCATTACGTACTATCAGTATTTCTCAACACCACGATGTCACTTTCATCAGGATATTCATTCACCTACCCGCCAACCATCATTTCTCATTGACCACATCATCATGCGAGAAAGTATAGCTGGCGTCTCTACCCCCACCAATTGAGGCACCCTTCACCTTCACCCTCATCTCTCACCTCACCACACCTACCACCACCACTGCTTACTCATTCTCTTCACCTGTGTCTACCACACATATCAGCCCTACCCTCACCTAGCTACCCTTACCCTTGACCTCACCACCACGTTCACCCTCACCTTCAATGCCACACCCACTCTCTCACCTTCACCCCTCTCAGCCACCACCTCTCACCTCAACCACTTCACCACCTCTCACCATCATCACCACCACCCTTACCCTCACCTCAGTCCACCACTCTCACCCTCACCACCACCTACCCTCACCCTCACACCCACTCTCACCCTTCTCACCTCACCACGGGTACACTCTTCAACCCTCACCCTCACCCTCCACACCACTTCACCCTCACCCTCACCAACCACTCTCCGTCTCACTCCTCACCACCACTCTCACCCTCACCTCACCACCACTTCTCACCTTCATCTCACGTCTCCTAACCCATTTCACGCTCTCATTCACCAATCTTCACCCTCACAAATAGCTACCACTCCACCCTTCACCAGCCTTCACCATCGCGCTTTGACACCCACTTTCACCACCACCCTTATCACCTCACCTTGCACCACCACGTCTCGCCCAACTCACTTCACACCAACCCTCACCATCACCTATCAACCCACGCACTCCGCAATCAACTTATCGACCCCACCACTCACCAAACTTGCACTCAACCACACTCACCTTCACCACACGCCCTCACTCACCAATACCTTCAACGACCACCTCTCAGCCACTAACCTTCGCACCACGCCAACCAGCATACACCAGTTCAGACCGAAGCACCGCGCGCCTCACCACCACGTCTCACCTCACCACCAACCCTCACCCTCACCTTTCCACAGACTTCTCACCCTCGACCACCGCACCACCACTCCTCTCCTCACCCTCGCGCCTTCCACACCCTCTCCCCACCCTCCACTATCACTTCACCTCACCCTCACGCAGTTCCCCCTTAACGCGCGACAACCAGAATGACTATGCCGCAGGGAGCCAATTGACAGCTATAGCACCAGGTAGGAGGACAAGAGACGCCTAGGATACGTCTCGAGTCCGTGGCGCCGCACTCGTGTCAACTTACGTTGGTGTTATAGCGAGACTAGGATACCTGTGACGCCGAGTCGGTGAGTTATCGAGCGCTCAGGAAGTGAAACCAGATGTGATGGTTGAGGTTGTTAAGGATGGACTATGACATTATTTACGACGGTGGAGCACGGCCACACACGATTAACCGCGCACTTCTGCGACATTGGACAGAGGTGTTGCGCAAGTCGTTGTGGAATATTAATCTCTTTTGCTTTGTTTAATCTGCTGCTACTTGATCGGTCAGAATGTGGTTTCTTAGACTGCGCTCTGAATGCGTCGCGAAGCATGCAAGTATCTAGTTGACAGTATAGAGCAAGGGAATTAAATCATGTATCTCGAATTATCTTCGAACATAGAGCTTTTCACAAGCTCACTAGTTCACCACCATATCTTCCATCATACTCTACAACTTCCCAAATAACAGTATTGACCGCGCTACTGCTCTATTACCGAGACGTAGAACACTTTACTGTAGTGTCGTATCTGCGCATATAAGTTGTTCTCTCTCTCAGCTGTCTCCCGCGATAGAATGGACTCAAGGTCCATTGGCAAGAGCGTGTGCATCGCACGTGTTCGCTTCAGTGCGCAGAGTTGAGCTCTCTTTGCTCCTGGCCCAGCCTTCGGGTGGTGGCCTTGGTGGGTGGTTCGGTTTTGGGCGTCTGCGAGCGGCCGTGATGCGATACCTTGGGATTTTTTGTTTCTTTCTTTCTTGCTTGTTCTTTCTCTTTCTTCTTTCTGGTGTTGCTATATTTCTATCTTCCTTTTCTTTCTTTTCTCTTTCTTCTTTCTTTGCTTGCTTGCTTGCTTTTTTCTATCTTCCTTTCTTTCTTTCTCTTTCTGCCATACTTGCTTGCTTGCTTTATTTCTATCTTCCTTTTCTTTTCTTTCTTGTTTGCTTTCTTGCGTTGCTTGTTTATTTTTCTATCTTTCCTTTTTCCTTTCTTTTCTTACTTCTTGCTTGCTGGCTTGCTGATTTTATTTCTTATCTTCCCTTTCTTGCTCCAACTTTCTTCTTTCTTGCCTTGCTTGCTGCTTGCTTGCTTTTTTCTATCTTTCCTTTTCTTTCTTTTTCTTTTCTTTTCTTCCTTCTTCCTTTTTCTTTTTTTGGGGGGGTGGAAAGAGAAGTGGATGGTTTGTGGGATATTGACATTTTGTACTTATTATGAGATTATTTTAGAGTGGAAAAGTCATACAGTTGCAACGTTTTGTGCGAATTCTCTGTTCGGTGCTCTTTACATATGCTAATCTTTTCCGTCTAAAATAATCAGTCAATGTTTAGTCATCTACTCTGTTATATTATCTACCCCTCTCACATCATAACGGTGTTGAAATATATGTATATGTAATTTTCCCAATTATCAGTTTAATTAGGAATAGTAGGTATTTTATGTGTGTCTCTGCGTATTTATAATATGTATATTTGATATGTAATGTTATCTGGTCTTGTATTCCATGATCTCTCTCTCTATATACAAGTCATGTTAGTGACTCTGGAGCTCACACACAGCACACAAACACTCTCCTTCAACCAACACACTCCCACACGCGGACACCACACCACACAACACACACAAAACACACACACACACACACACACACACACACACTACAAAACAGTAATAGCATATTATTTAATAGGTGTGCGTATATTGTTTAGTATCTTTATGTTATATGTATCCTGTATATAATATATATATATATATATCATGTGTGCGTGTGTGTGTGTGTGTGGTATCTTGGCCATGTCTCGTGGTGTGTAGGTGTGTGTTGTGTGTGTGTGTATTATAATATATATATCATTATATAATATATATATCTGTCTACTTCTTTTTCTCTACCTACTAACTGAATTACCTCTAACATCGTCTATATATATTTTACTGTTATCGTATTTATATATGTATTGTCTTCATAGTGTACTCTATTATTATCTTATTATCGACTACTATCTCCCTTAATATCATTCGTACTCTCGCTCTATACATTACCATAACAGGTTGCAGCCATCACGCACACATCTTACACCCACCACCACCAACCAGGCCACATTATCTAACAGCCGTTTTGACTATCTTGTTTATCTATATTATATATATTAGTATTATCTATTAATGTTTCTTTTATCTACTGACACTAGTATATATCTCAGTTATATATCTCGTGCGCTATTATTTATTGTGCTCTGTGTTTCCCAAAAACGGACCAATCGTCAATCGCCGTTGCTTGCTTACACCATTCGATCACCTCGGGTGTGTGTGACCTTATCTAATGCTCTGCTACTCTCGCTCACCTAACTCTGGCTTCTACTTCTTTTCCCTCCATAAAACGAGCTCAATAGTATATAATCTAGCTGATATATATATATATATATATATATTGCATAGGTGGTGTGTTTATATTACCAGCACATACATATATAAATACATAGATAGTTGCTAGTAAATTATACCTATAATAAGATGCATAGATACTGTACATGCATACATATATACATATATAAATAGATATACTAAACATACGTACTACTTCAGTACATACAGAAAACATTAATATCTACAATCGTCGTCTAAAATCAATCTGCTCTATAAGCATGCGTGGTCACAAATTCTGTAACAACTTCAGCCGCGAAGCGTGATAGGCCAGACTTTCGCACCCCCACAGATTCGGCGTGCTCGTGTGGGACACGTCTTGCGGGGCGACGGGCCGAAGTGTATGCCTGTACAATTCGAACTCCGCCAAGTGGTCAGAAGTCCTATTGCTTTCCGAGCCTGATCTGGATCTTCCTCTTGCGGCGACGGCGTATTTAGTCTCCGGTCCGGCGCCCTATAATCGACGTGCTTTCTGTTGTTATTATTACCTATTATTATAGGTTATATGAAGAGCCACACTGAAAAAAAAATCGTGATTTGATACCACCAGAGGCTTCAGTCAGGTCAAGATACAGCTAAAAAGAATGAGAAGAAAGAAAGTCGGCTATTTACCTAAGAAAAACTTGTTAGCTGATCTTTTAAACTTATCAAGAGTCGGAGAAGTCTGAAGGCAATCAGTTTCGTTTCCCATTTCATTCGTCTCTCTTCCCCCGCGCGTCTCCCTCTCATTACCAGTTCTCTCTTGCAGTGTTCGTGTTTATATGTGTGCTGTGCGACGTCGTGGTGTTCTGGTACAGCAGGAACTCGGAGCTCTTCGACGAGTGCCCCGAGGACCTGCAGAAGAGGCGGGGCTGCTCCGAGGAAGACCAGCCTCTTCGCTCTGCGGCTTACGACGAGGCCAAAGTCTGAGCGCGGTCTCGACAAACGTTGTATAATCTGATTGACTCGGCCATATATTTATTTATCAGAGTATCTGGTATCTTTTAGTAATAAAGGTGTTACTTGAAGTCCACGTATTTTTGGTGTTTTATCTTTATTTCTGCAAGTAATTGCAAATAACAATGTTTGTTATTTTTACGTAAATGTATTTGATATAAACTATTTACTGAAGACTACGCGCGAGAAAATACCTTACGGTCTTATCGCTGAGGTTACAATTCGTTCGCTAAAACACGCTCGTACCGAATCCAGCTGCGTCTCACGTCAAAACAGTCCAGCTAACATTCTCTCCAAGAATAAAACACCCAGATGACCAATTCAAACTCAAAATCACACGAAACTACGCCAATCATCCCGTGCGCTCCAAAAACAGCCCCTACGCTCGCAACCTCGACGCAGTGAACCACCACACCTAACTGCGGGCAGCTGTAAGTTGTTCCCTCGGCTGTATAGTGTGGCCAGTGACTCTTTGGTGGCACACTTAAACAGTCGCGAACGAGGACACTCTGGTGCAATCCGGCGAAGGACTGCGGGATAACATGTGGTGGCTTGACTGTCGGCGGGTCAGAAATGTATTTTTAACAACCTGTTCTGTCGTGTGATTTAAATTTTTCTTACAGTTGCTGCAGAGTGTAGTTTTCTTTTTGCGATGCGCGAGTACAATATGACAAATAGTCCATGACGCAATGGAACTGCCGCACTATGGATGCCATGACACTTATTTTTATATATGCTAAACTAACAGTAATACAGTGTGAAGTACAATATTGAGTATCCATTAGCCGAATGAACAGACAAGTGCTTTAGATGCACTGCTAGAAATTATGGTACAATTTCGAATATATATCCACGTGTTATTGAGGGCCAGAGTACCATCCATTGTGAACTGAATACTCGAACTATATCTACAAATTTCAATCGGCCTACAACAGAGATTTACCGAATCTATCCCAGGCCTCTCCCTGAACTAAGTTTTGAAGTGTTGATGGCATAAACAGAGGCTTGTCTTCTGGGTACGAAGTAACTAAAGAGAACGAAGAAATCTGGAATGAGGTGCAGGTCTACGATGCCGTGAGCAGTACTTTGTGAACGTGTTACCAACCGTCGCTTTAGGTTATGCAAAGCGAGACTTTTAGCCTTAAGAACAAGTATCAAATACAATGAATGAAAAAAAAAATCACACATAACGCAGACTAAGAATACCAATGTACTTGAAGACACACCAGAACACCAAGTCACAGACAGAAAAAAAATCCACAGTAAAATTCCCACAAATACAAAACAGAAAAAAAAAACACAAACACGCCAAGAGTATCCAACCAAAGCACAAAATCGTAGACAAACCAACACCAACCACTTGACAAACAAGCCAAGGGGTACAGACAAGAGCCCATAGCCCTACCACAGGATGGGCTCGTTACCCATGACCAACCTTACGTTTCTCATCCACATTCAGCTGCTGTAGAAAGTCACGGCAGCGAGGTTTTCATCCACACTCACTCGTGGATGTATACTTGCTGAGGGGTTTGGGGCACGCTCGGCCCTTTGGGATTATTTGGGGCAGTTTGATTGGGTATGCGTCGGTGGGTATGTGATGGGATTTTGTTTACTTACGTATCAGTTTGTGGATCTCTCTCTTCTTCTC